TCCATCTTAACTGCGGAGGACAGAATACAGTAAGGGAGTGAGGAGAACACGAGGCTGACAGGAGGCAGGGGTTGCACTCAGGAGGCCCTGGGACAGTTCTCATCAAGCACAGGCCAATGTGACACACAGAGGACAGAGAGTACAGGATGCAGGGATGTCAGCCTGGTGGAGTCTCAAGGGACGGAGAGAGCTGAGATGGAACATCCAAGAAAACCGAAGGCTTAAAATAAAAACAACACAGAATGGTCTATTTAGAGTTCTGCAACCTGAACTTTTTTTCTCTTTTTATTTTTTAATAAATACTTTGATTAATGATTCAGGAAGAAACTAAGGCTAAACTAGGTGGGCAATTTTGAAAACTTTCTTGCCTCTTCTTCTGTGTTGGTTAAAGTTTACAGATCCTACAGGCTAGCACTTGAAAAAGCAATTGCTTTTTGCTTGTGATTATCAATCAGATAATCACACCTGGTTGGGTTTTTAAACCTAGATCTTTGACAAAGCACACAGGTGACAGTTTTCAAGTAAGAATGCTGAAAACATTTTAAATATAATGCTTTTTATAAACAAGAGGGAGCTTTGGTGGCTCCGTAGAAAGGAACTGAGCTCTGAACTCGAAGACATGAGGTTTTCAACATATATATTTACTAGTTGTTGTTGTGCCGTCAAGTTGTTCGCAACTCATAGCGACCCCGTGTACAACAGCCCGAAACCCTGCTCTATCCTGTGCCAATCGCATTACCTCTGATACACCCATCCCGATTACCCCAGTCACTGAATCAATCCACTTCATAGAGGGTCTTCCCCTCCTGCACTGTCCCTTCACCCTCCCAAGCATGATGTCACTCTCCAAGGACCGGTCCCTCCTTACAGCATGTCCAAATTATATTAGATGAAGCCTCAGAATCCCTGCCTCCAAGGAGCAGCCCTATTTAACCCTCTCCAGGATGAATCTGTTTCTTTTCCTAGCAGTCCATGGTACCCTCAATACTCTAAAAACTCTTAAGATGTTTGACCTCTTCAAATAATTTTTTTTATATGTGGTGCCTAACTTACACGACAATGACTAATTTGTTGTTGTGAATATTAGGTTACAAGGAAATGCTGATTGTCACCCACTGGTTTTGAATTTAAGTTACCCAGAAACAAAGAAACATCAACCTCCCATGTTTCTAATGCGACATTTACCTAAAACAATTGTGCAGAGTTACTGGGGGAGGATGGCTCTACGTTAAAATGATTCTTTTGGTTTCTTTAATAATGAATTCTAGTTCTCATGATTCCTTTCTGGGTTTGTGTAATATATTTTCCTGGAGGTTGAAGGATATAAAAACTTGACAACAACTTCAAATGTTTTTCTCTGTTTGCTATTGACAATATTGATTGAAATATTCATTTATATTAGAGTTATTCTCTGTCTTTCCAGGTAAGTGATACTCAGACAAATGGTTGAGCAAAAGAAATTAATTTGGTGACATAGTTTTTCTTTTCTTTGTACCAATTTTGGCAAAATATCAATCCCCATCAGTGATTGCCTAGAAATTCCTATTTATATCTATTTGATGGTTGTGGTTTAATTTTATTCACATCCTCTTTCTTCCTGTCCTGTTTAGAAATGCTTTCAAGGTCTTCTCACGACAACCTTTTTGTTAATATTATTAACATAATACACCATGTCTTACATGGAACACAGTCAGTTACTAGTAAATTTCGTGTATGTTGATGTTTAAAGTACATGGCACTTTTTTTATAATAACCACCTGATTTAGTCCAATGATGCTAAATGCTTTCTATTATTAGTAAATTTACCTTCCTGTAGAATAATCATAAGAAAGATATACCTTTGATTTATGTACAGTTTAATATCATTTTTATCTGAATTTTTGTTTTGTTTTGATTCATTCCTAACATCATTTTTATCACTGTTGTTTTCATGGAGATCATTGTCACAACAATTTTAGGTATGAGGAACCAAACCCTCATAGTGTTAGATGACTTCTTCCTTCCAAAATGCCTGATATTAGAGAACATAATGTGATACAAATTCAGCAGAACAACTAGATAATTCCTCCAAAAAACTAAAAATATCATCATCCCATGACCCAGCAATTCCACTTGCTCAAGGATCTGGACACAAGGACTTGAACAGATCCTCTGAACGATGCATGTTATAGTCCTTGGAGCCTTCGCCACACGAGCCCAAAGATTAAAACAAGCCCCAAGGATCACCTCCATTCCTTGCTCAGAACAGAGATTCTGACAAGGGAGACAGGCTCTATTTTTTCCGGAAACTTTTAATGCAACACACATCATGGATAACTGGAACAGTCTTTCAACATTGCTAAGGGTCAGTGTTTCACCCCTAAAATAAAAATTGAAACCAGAATACTGTAAAGACACTAAACTTCTAATATATTTTAATTCTAAGAAATGGTCGCTATGAGTCGCCTGCGACTTGACGGCACTTAACAACAACGACAACAAGAAACATTATGAGTCAATATTTGTATTCAGGAGAAAGAAATGCCAGAGAGAAGGTTGTATCTGGACTAGAAAACAATACATGAACTCCATTCTTGTGTTCTTCTACATGACTGTGTCCAGGAGGGAACACTGGCAGATAATACAGAATATAATGACCTTTACAATCCAGCCATCGTGAAGCTGGATTTACGGCACCTTGTAGGGCACTGGTGTTAGAGGTTTTCTGAGGAGAATGTACCAGACTCACTGACTCCTCTCCACCCTCTTTTTTCCTACAGGAAGTCTCCCCCATCCTCCTCTGCAGGGAACTCCAGATTCTCTGCAGCTCTCTCTGCCTGTGCTGAGCCACTCAGCTCCCTTCACAGAAAGCATCTCTAACCTCTCCAGAATCTCTGCTCCAGCTGACATCTCAGCATGGCTACGTCCATCAGCCTCTGTCACCTCTTTCCATCCGCTCCTGGGCAGTGCTGACCTTTACCAACCTGCTGGCACAACTATACAGCCTGTAGTTTGGGGCCAGAGCCAGATGCTCACTGTACCTTCCTCTCATCTGGGGATTTTTGAATGGAGCCTCCCAGGATGCACTGAAAAGAAGTCCTCTTCACTTGGGGACTCCACTGTTAATGTCACTGACCAAGACACAGCTGTGTCTTCCGTGCCCATGGCAATTCAGTATCACAGACCTTCAGACACCAGCACCTTAGGCCCTCTGTATCCATCACTACCTGCTAGATTTGTCCAGGAGACACCAAATCAGGGACTTAGATCAGTTCCCCACCAGGACAGGAGCCAGGTATATAACTCCAATCAGGGCACATGGGGGCCACTGCTCTCCAGAGATCTGGGAACTTCCCTGCAATTCTATGGCTCTGAGTTGTACACAGGAGGCAGGTGCCCTGCTCCTCAACCAGAAATGCTGATGGTGCTAGAGGCGATTCGTCCTACAGATGCCCTTCTGCCGGCCTCTACCTCTGCAATTTACTACTCCGTCTCTGATCAGCCCATCTCAGAAGTACGTTGTCTAGGTGAGTACAAAGGGAAGAGGAGAGAAGAAGAAGGGTCAAGCCTGAGTCTGGGGAGAGGGAAGTCCCTGAAGACATAGAACTTGGTTTTAAGACTTTGAACACTACCCTCAGTCAATGCTCTCCAATGCTTCCAGCCTCTGTGTAACACCTGGTCCAGGGACAGTGTATGGTCCATTTTGTTCTATAGAAGGAAACCCTAAGATCATGTCCAGGGACATCATAGCTCCATTGCTATAGCTGACCAGTTGCCTTACCGCCACCATATTGTCGTTATCACCCTTCCCTGGCCTTGACGAAGAACTCTGGCGGCCTCCATAAGGGCTGACATCTCTAACCCAAAGCCCAAAGTTCTTTGGCAGATCAAAGCCACCATTGGCTCTGATGCTGGGAGAAGATGGGTAGTTGCCTTTCAGGAACCTTACTGCCTTAGAAACCCAGTGGAGAGTCACATATAAGTTGGTTTCAACTGGAAGGCAATGGGTTTGAGTTGTGAGTCAGATCTCTAGAATCTTTGAAAGCCACTTCCTAACTCTTATTGCACCAGTACCAGTTTAACTTTTCCTCATTTCCTTCTACGTCATTTACATAAAGATATAAAATCTTGGGTTCAACAACAAATTATTTGTGAGTGACAGAAGTCAGTCACAGAAAGAAAATTATGGTATGAGGATCTTATTTTTAAAATGTAAATAACGTTTACATACAAAATCAATCTTGGAGGCATAAAGAGGATGAGAAGGGTTGGGGAGTGTAGAAGAAAACTTTAGTGAACAACACAGCTATGGATATCTAGAAAAACTTTTCAAAGAAAATTTCCTAAAATGGTTTGAAAATAATTTCTCACACACACTTTGGCCAAAGCATCCAAGTCTAGACTTTGTCCTCTCTTCCATATCTTCTGGAGATATCTTCTAGTTCCTGTCTTTAGTAAACAACATCAAGTGTTCTTATTCACTCAAAAGAATGAAAAAGAATATTTGTGAGAATAACTGGGTTTATAAAACATTTAATATTCTTAATAAACCTTAACACTATATCTAAGATATGTAAGCACCCTATTAAATACAAATAAAACAAGACACATGGCGTTAAGAGTCAGAATTAGAACAACAACCTCCAGTAGCCTGTCCACGGTCCCCAAGAAGAGCTTGTACAAATAGCAGTGAAACATCAGGAAAGGCACTTAACTGCTCTGCTGGAGAGTAGCGGAGCACCTCACTTACCAGTACCTGACTGACCATCTTCATCCTTGATTCCTTTGTAGTGATGGAAACTTCCCCGGGGATGGAGACTTTCCTGAGATGGCAACAACCACGCCAGATATTCTGTCTGTCATAAACATAAGAATGTCCAATGTCCTGCCCCAGGAATAACTAGACGCTTCAAAGTCATCCACAAAATGAACTTGAGAACATCCCAGTGATAGGTCCAGGAGAGACTGCTGGTAAACTCCTTGCACTGCCTCCAGCTGCAAGCTGTGAACAAACAGAGGGTATGAATCCTGATGATGGTAAAACCAAATTTTTAAAGTCTCTGGATGCCTACTTGATGGCAACAGAAAATAAAGAACCTCCACTAATTCCACCAGAAATCCCTTATACATACCAACTTCTGGCTCGTGTAGGTCTTCTAAATCAAGAGGACCAGCCTGGTGCTGCAAACATTGAAGTAAGAAAGACCAGCTTTAATGTTGAGGACCAAGAGGCACTTGAAAATGAGCAGCTGTCACCAAATTGGTAGAGGATACATACGTTCCTCAGGTCTTTGATCACAGGAAGTCTTCATCAGGCTTGACTTTTCCTGCACCAGATCCACACTGATCCCTTTGGTGTCTTCAGCTTTGATTGTCTCCAGCCTTTTGTCTTCCAAGGAGATGAAGACTTCCTGTGATCAAACGAGCAAGAAAAAAAACACAAAGCCTCTGAGTCTATCACTGTGGCTCCAGAGACCAAGATCCAGGTACAGATCCCAGAGGGAAAAGTGCCTGTTTGCAATACAGAGACCAGTGACAGAGCTCCTGTCAAAAGAGCCAAGCATCCTACCAGCAAACCTCAGAAACCTGCATCAGGCGGGGTCAACAAAACTAAGAGTCACTCAGAGAAGGCCAAAAGGAGCCACGAAAACAATCCCAAGAAAGCTGCAGGCAGTAAGCAACCAGGGAACCAAGTTCTAGGACTGAAGCCTGGATTCCCCAGGAGCAAGAGGAAGAAAAATCAGCCTGAGCTTGGCCAGGAGACCTTTAAGAAGCCTCGCAGCAGCCTGGGCGCGCACATGCTGGAGGCTGTGCAGGTCTTCCACGCTCTGGGGAAGAGGAGGGATAACAAAGCTGGGCTCCTTTCTTCCCAGGCTTTGGGGAACTCCAGCAACACCAAACACCCCCAGCCAGGCCCAGCAATCAAACCATGGCTGCACATCCCCCCTGAGGGGACAGGGCCTGAGAAAACCCAGGTCAGAGCCCAGAAACCCGAGGGCCAGGCAGAGAATCATCCACCTCCATCCCAGGATGAGCTGCCACCCCCTGGGAAGGTCAAGTTGGTACCTTTGTCTTTTCTCACCTTGGACAAGCCTCAGGTGAGACCTGTTCCTCGCAGGCCACCATCTCTGGCTGCACGTCGCCCTTCTAGGCCTGGTTCCAACTCAGCTCAACCAATTACTGACAATGGATCCCAGACAGCTACTGTCAATGGGTCTGGCGTGCGTCCTGCTGGAGCAACTCGGCCAATTTTCCCTAACTCGGTCCAACCAGCTCTGACCAACCCAGCTCGGCCCCGTGTCCTCCACTCTGCTCCTCTGAGGCCTGCGGTCCACACAGCAGCATCTGGCGCTGCTTTCCAGCGAGAGCCCGCGGTCACCGGTGGGAACAAGCTGCAGCCCCCAGCTAAGCCTCCAGCACAGTTTCTCCTTCGAGACTTCAGCTTACAGCCTATCCCATGGAGGAAGCCCAACGTCCCAGAGCCCGTGATGTCCACGCCCATTACCTAGGAGCAGAGGCCTGAGCGGGAGGCCATGAAGAGGCGGGCGCAGCAGGAGCGGGAGGAGGCCGCCAAGTTCACTTCGCGGGGCAAAGTGCAGGTTTTCCTGCAGCGGGAGAAAGACCTGGAGATCGCTTGCTATTAGGGTTATGCAGGGTGACTGCACCAGCGAGGAATTTTATGTCTCTTTTGACACCAACTCTTTTTTCTGTGTATATATACATAGATAGACAAATGCAAGTTTCATTTTTAAAATATTTAATAAAGAAAATAATAGAATTACTAGGTGAGTGGTAAAAAAGAGCATTGTCTTTCCAGATGTCCTCAATGTGTGTGATGTGTGTGTGGTGTTTGTTTGTTTGTTTGTTTGTTTTCTTTTGAGAGGGTAAAGTGAAAGAATGGTTTAAACGAAGTCAAATTTGGATAGAATAATGAGGAAAGAGGATTAGAACTGTGGAAAAAATAAAGGATTTAGTCCTGATGCTGTGAAGGACAAAAGATGAGAGATTTCATGAGCTGAGATTCAAGTGAAAAAAAAACCTTGAGTAGAAGTGAAGATGAGCGGTTGGGTCTGGGTTAGCCGGCAGAGTTATAGAAATCTTCCCTGGAGACCGCTTTTCTGTGTCCTTGGACTCTAACAGAGTCTTTGGAAAACAAGAGCTCTAAGGACACACTTCCAACAGGTTCAAGTTCAGGTTCCCTACACGTGGATGGTGCAGGTGGTGAAGGTGAATGCAGACAGGAGGGCTCCCTGCAGGCAACGATGGCAAAGCTTCTTCTCATGCACTCTGGGCACAATGCTAGGAGAGGCTATTCCTTGGCGAAGGAGGGATGGCAAAAGAGAGTGAGACCCTCCACCAGTTAGACAGACACTGTGATCACAACAAAAGGCTCAAGTTTTCTGAGACTATGAGGTTGGCCCAGGGTAGGACAGAGGTCAGGCCTGTTATTCACTGTGTTGCTGTGAGGCTTACTTGAGGGTACCTCACAATAACAACTCTTTTAATTGGTACAATTAAGCCATTCCCATTCATTCACACCCACTAGGTGGGGAGTGGAAGTCTCAGAGCCCTCTGGGGGGCCCAGGCCAGGACGTGCAGCACCCTGAGGCCCATCTAGAAGGGCAGGGCCAGGACCACGAAGGGCCATTCATTCAGCATCTCCCCTGGGAGCCTTCAGACGCGCCATCCCATCAACAGCAAGGCCAGTGTCGCTGCACCAAGTTATTGGTGAGATGCAGCGATGGCCCCATGTCACTGAGGTCACTGCTGTCAGAAGTGCAGTGTTTGCAGGTCAGCGGGGCTTTCAGAGCACAGCATCGGGTCAAGGGTGGGCAACACAGGGGCGCATGGGAGGGCTAAATACTGTACTGAAGGTTCAGCACTATCCTCTTCCACCACACGGTCGTCCACAGCTTTCTTGATGACCAGTGACATCAACCGACACGCTGGAGAAAAGGCGCCTCTGAATGTCAACTTCCAGATGGAAGGAGGTGGACACGCATGCGCACTGAGTATGGCAAGAAGGGGAGAAAGGAGAGGAGAGGGAGGAGGGGAGAGGGGAGAGAAAGGTGAAAGGAGAGGGGTGAGGGAAGAAGAAAGAGGGGAGAGGATGCAGGCGCCCAAGGGTCCAGGGCACCAAGAGCAGTTATGATATGGGAGAGTGGAGGGCTTGGAGGAGTGGGAAGATGCGGTTGTGGGCTGTCACTTGGGGAGAATTAGCAATTTACATGAAACGGTCTTCTAAAAATATGCATAGTAAAAATTTCACACCATTTGACAGTTATCAGTTCAGGGACATTTAGTGTATTCACGAGGATTGTGCAGCTGTCTCCACTCTCAATTCCATCACGCCAAAAATGCACCCGTATTCTGGGCCTAGGGATAAGAAGGTGCACTGAGACCCCAAAGGCACATGGTTCAAATCCACCGGATGCTCCAATGGAGAAGGATGGGCAGCCTCTTCCTATGTGATTTACTTCCTCTGAACGCCCACTGGAGGGTCAGCTATGAGTCGGTTCTCACAGTCAATCCCATTTCTCGTTCCTCTCTCCACCTAGCCCGTGACAAGCAATCATCCAGCTGTCTCTCTCTGTAGAATTTCATACTCTGCGTACTTCATATAAGTGAGATAATAAGTATTGTGGCCTTCATGTCTGGCTTCTTTCACTTACCATATGAGAGGGAGCTCTAGTGGCCTAGTGGCAAAAAGCTGCACTGCAATCCTGAAGGCTTATGGTTCAAACACACTAAGTGCTCTACAGAAGAAGGGTGAGAAATCTCTTCCCATGCGATTAACTGTCTCTGAAATCCCAGGATGGAAGGAAGACTCAGTAGTACTCTGCAATATGCAGATGATACAATCTATATGAATGTAAAGAGAAGTCTGTTCACTTGTTGATGAAAACAAAACACTACAGCCTTCAGTATAGATAACACTCAACAAAAATCCATAAAGAAAAAAAAAACCCTCACATGTACACCAGTAAAAGGCCCCATAATAAAAGGAGAAGACTCAAAGCAACCCTAGGAATAAAAGGCCTGAAGATTTTCTATAACTATCATCATTTATGAAAGTTCATAGAGTTTCCAGAGGCATGTTGTTTGGGAAGTGGATGCCACCCCTGCTTCCAAACCTGTCTTACACTGGGCGCTCCACTAAACACTGTCGACCATGTATAAACGTTATGGCATTTGACACCTCAATGGCACAAGATTCAGCATCACAGCAACCCCAGGTTATCTCAATACAGCATATTGACAGAAGACTGCTGTACCACTTAGAAGAATGTTCCTCCAAAACAAAATAACAACTGACTTACAAAGGCCCTCCCTAAGATCTTGTTGACTCTAAACAAGAAGCTTAAATTAAAAAAACAGAACAAAACAACCAATATAGTATGTTGTTCTTGTTGTTGTTACGTGTCATTGAGTCGCCTGTGATGTACAGCAGCTCTGAACCCTTCCCTGTCCTGTGCCAGTCTCACGAATTCTGACACAACAACCCCCATTGCCCCAGAGACTGTATCCATCCGTCTCATCCAGGTTCTTCCTCTCCTGCACTGTCACTGTAAATAAAAATTTAAAAGGAAGATAAGTATTTATAGTAGAATAATTGCACTAATGCAGAGCATCTAATGAAAGAACTTCTTAGAAATTATTTACAAAAATTTCCAAAACAGGGAGATACAATTCCTATTTATTACAGTGGTAATTAATTCATAGTGCTTCATGTAAATGGAAATTCTAGGAATTTGTGACAGACTACAATGTTATAACAACAACAACAAAAAACCCCTTGAAACACAATTCAGGCCCTGTTTGCTAATGAATAGTGAGTGTAATATAGGGGAAAGCAGAACATTCTTATTGTTGCTGGTGGTGGTGGTGCCGTCGAGTCATAGACGACTCATAGCGACTCTATGAACAAACGGCCTGAGCACTGTTCGTACATAGAATTTCCAGAGGCAAGTCATTTCAGAAGTGGATGCTGCTCCTGCTTCCAGGCTATTACTCTTTTAGCTTTTTTAAAAAAAAATTATTATTAATTTTAATGAAAATTTACAGAGACTTTGGATTTTCGTTCATTCATTGTTTCACTTTTCTCCCTGGCCGCCCCCCCACCCCCAGTACACTCTTCTCTTTGAAAACTAAAAGAAAAATTCTTTCATTGTTTTACAATCCCTCCCCCCAGGTCCACTCCAGCCTTTACTCTGGACTCCTGTCATGACAAAAATACCTAATCACATATCCCTTTTAAACAACTTTTTCCCTCCTCTGTTTCAATGCAGTATACACTATTTATCTCATCATTCTCAGTCACCCCCAACCCCAATTTCAGTCCTGTTTTACAACAGTGACACTATGCAGTATTTGTCCTTTCATGACTGAGATATTTCACTCAGCATAATGTCCTCCAGAGTCACCCAATTTGAATAATATTGCATGAGTTCTTTGTTTTTCAATGCAGCGTAGTATTCCATTGTGTGACTATACTTCAGCTTCTCTATCCATTCATTTGTTGATGGTCACTTAGTTTGTTTCCAACTCCTTGCTATTTTGAATAAAGCCACAATAAACATGGGTGTGCATATATCTGCTTAGGTGGCAGTTATGGTCTCTACGGGGTATATTCCCATAGTGGAATTGCTTGGTCGAATGGTATCTCTCTCTATTTGTAACTTTTTTGAGAAAGTGCCACACCGCCTTCCACAGTGGTTGCACCATTTTATTCTCCCACCAACAGTGAAGAAGGGTTCCAGTTTCTCCACAACCTTGCCAGCATTTGTTGTTTGCTATTCTGTTAAATTTTTCTATACTTACTGGGGTGAGATGATATCTCATAGTTGTTTTGATTTACATCTCTCTTACAGCTAGGGATTTTGAACATTTCTTCATATGCTTGTTAGCCACCTGAATGTCTTCTTTGGTGAAGTGTCTGTTCATATCCATTTTTCAATTGGATAGTTTTCCTTTCTCTTGTTGTTACTCTTTTAGCTTAAAGACATGGTTCTATAAAACAGTCTAGAGTTTTCAATCAGTCTCAGGATTCTGCAAGATGCTTTGTCATGACCATCATCCTCTTTTGCAATGTCTACATAAAAAGAAAGATTCTTGTTTAACTTTAAAAGAAAGTGTGGATAAATTTATATTATTTTGGAATACAGTTACTTTGAAACTTCTGGGTGGATAACAAATTTTTAGTTATCGTAGTTGTTCATATTCAACTTGATGACTCATAACAACAATAGATGAATAGTTTTATTTAGGAAAAAAAGTCTTTGTCTTGACTTCTTTTTCCTTTTAGTGAGGTTTTGTTAAGCTTTGTGAGGTTTTTTTCCTCATCTATATAGTCTCTGTTTTATTATTTCAGCAACTTGAACTCTTTTTCAATATCTTGACAACTTCATTTCATAAATTCCTGTCTTGGATAGCATTTCTATGAAAGATCATAACATGTAAACTTATAGCTTTGAGGTCACAGGTCTTTTGTTGAAATGAGTCCAGAGTG